TCTTTTTTCCTTTTGCTTTTCTGGTTGGGTGTTTTTTGCTTCTTCATATTTTAAATCTTTGACTTGATTCTTGGGATCCTCTAGTCTGCTGTTGGATCTCTGTATATTATTCTTTATTTCAGTCAGTGTATGCTTAATTTCTAATTGGTCCTTTTTCATATCCTTGAGGGTCTCACTATATTTCTCAAAGGTTTCTAGAAGATTCTTGAGTAACCTTATAACCGTGGTTTTGAACTCTATATCCAGTAGTTTGCTTTCCTCCATTTCTTTCATTTGTGATTTATTTCTTTGTCTCTGCATTTTGGCTGCTTCCCTGTGTTGATAGAGTGGCTTTGTGTGCTAGGTGTCCTATAGGGCCCAGTGGCTCAGCCTCCCTAATTACCTGAGGTGGACACTCTTGGTAAACCCCTTTGTGGGCTGTGTGCACAGTCTTGTTGTAGTTAAGCCTTGATTGCTGTTGGTATCACTGGGAGGAATTGACCTCCAGGTCAATTGGCTGTGAGGACCAGTAGTGTCTATAATGGGAGAACTTCTGTGCTGGAGACACCCTTATGGGGGAGGACTTGCTTCAGTGGGGCTTTGGTGCTCACTGAGTCTGCCCTGAGTGTGTCTCTTATGGGTCTGAGGAGTTGTAATCTGTATGGTCTCACTCTGACCACTGGGTAGACTGGCTCTTGGATCTCCAAAGAGGTGCAAAGTCAGCCACTGCCTGAGGCCACACAGCAGGAGCTATAGAGAGATCTGCAGATTCCTCCTATTTGTTTGGGGTTTGGAGGTACCCAGATGAGGCCCAACTGTGAAGTAATGCAGGCTGCTGATGAGCCTTCGGCCTTCTTTTGGAAGCTCTGGGGTTCTCTGACCCAGCTACAGTTTGACAGGTTTTTAGGCGGAGAAAGGCCAGGCCGTTCATATGCAAAAGCCTCTGCGCACAGCTTGGGTGGGCTTGTAAATTGGGTGGGGCGGGGTCTCAGGGAATCACCTGGGCGGAGCAAACCTCAATGGCTGCCAGTCTCCTTTGCCTCTGAGAGGTCCCGGGGTCTGTGTCCCACAGCCCTATGCAGGAACAATGAACGCTGCAAACACCTCTGTGAGAAAGCCGCCCTTGCCTTTCGGCCCGATGCCAGACAGTCCAGTTTCTCTTCGTATGAGTCTGGGTCCCCCAATTCTCGCCCAGAGCTGGAGTACAGGGCAGTCAGGAGCTTGTATCTTCCTCCCGTTTGAAAAGACAACAGCATACCCAGCTGCCAGCCCCTTTCGCACGCGCCTCCGTACCTCTATACTTCCACACCTCCGCATCTCTGCACCTCCTACTGGACTCAGTGTGCTTTTGTCTTTCCTTCTAGTTGTAGAATTTCCACTCAGCCAGCCTTCCCGTGGTTCTGGATGATATTCGTTTTGTCTTTTAGCTGTAGTTTTAATGTGATTGTGCGCAGCAGCAAGTTCAGGTGTTTACCTATGCCGCCATCTTGGTTGCTCCATCATGACTTATTTTATAACTGGCAGTTTGTACTTCTTAATCTTCTTCAACCATACCCTTCTTCCCTTATGGCAACCATAAGTTCTGTTTCTATGAGCCTATTTTGGTTTTGTTCTGTATGTTTATTTTGTTTTTTAGATTCTGCATATAAGTGAAAATATACAGTATTTGTCTGACTTATTTCACTTGGCATAATACCCTCTAGGTCAGGGGTGGGCAAACTTTTTGACTCGAGGGCCACAATGGGTTCTTAAACTGGACCGGAGGGCCGGAACAAAAGCATGGACGGAGTGTTTGTGTGAACTAATATAAATTCAAAGTAAACATCATTACATAAAAGGGTATGGTCTTTTTTTTTTTTTTAGTTTTATTCATTTCAAACAGGCCGTATCTGGCCCGCGGGCCGTAGTTTGCCCACGGCTGCTCTAGGTCCATCCATGTTGTCGCAAATGGCAAGATTTCATTCTTTGTTATGGCTGAATACTACTTCATTGTATAAATGTACCACACTTTTTTTTTAAATCCCCATCCGAGGATATTTTTCCATTAATTTTTAGAGATAGTTGAGGCGAGAGGGAAAGACAGAGAGAAATATCAATGTCAGAGAAACACATCAATTGGTTGCCTCCTGCACGGGCCCAAACTAGGGCCCGGGCCGGGAAGGAGTCTGCAACCGAGATACATGCCCTTGACCGGAATCAAACCTGAGACTCTTCTGTCCGCAGGCCAGTATTCTATCCACTAAGCCAAACCGGCTAGGGCTGTACCACACTTTCTTTATTCATTCATCTATTGGTGGACACTTAGGTTGCTTCCATATCGTGATTATTGTAAATAATGCTACAGTGAACATAGAGGTGTATATATCTTTTCAAAGTAGTGTTTTTGTTTCCTTTGCATAGATACCCAGAAGTGGAATTACTGGGTGATATGGTAGTTCTAGTTTTTATTTTAAAGAATCTCCACACTATTTTCTACAGTGGCTGCATCAATTTACAATCCCTCTAACAGTGCACTAGGGTTCCCTTTTCTCCACATCACTACTAGCGTTAACTATTTGTTGTCTTTTTGATAATAGCCAATCTGACAGGTGTGAGGTGATATGTATTGTGGTTTTGATTTGCATTTCCTTGATGATTAGTGCTGTTGAGAAGGGGTAGGGAGATGGAGTGAGTGGGCATAGATTCACTCAGGGAGGGGCTAAAAATAAGAGGGGTCATCTAGTAGGCGGGCCTAGAGGTTGTGTGTGAGAGAGAAAAGAGTCGTCAGAGGAGAACATTACATATATATGTGTATATTTACCTATAAATATATGCATACATGCATTTGCTCAGGTTGGTCATAAGTTCTGGAAATAAATAAAATATTCATGCAGCTTTTTACACCTCTTATGCCATTTAATTTTCCCAGTAACCCTGGAAGTGCCATCATCACCACTTTTCAGACAAGGAAACTGATGCCCGAGAAATACAGCTAGTATGTGACAGTGGAGAGAGGCCTCATATTCCTGCCTTCTGACTGAAAAATGGAGGGTTGTCTCATGACACCACAGCTGTTTCTTTTTTTTTTTTTTTAAATTCTTACCTGAGGATATATTTTTCTTGATTTTTAGAGAGAGAGGAAGGGAGAAAGAGAGAGAAACATTGATGTGAGAGAGAAACATGAATCAGTTGCCTCCCATACTCGCCCCAACTGGGGATCAAACCTGAAACCTAGGTGTATGCCCTGACTGGGAATCGAACCCAAACCTTTTGGTGCGTGGGATGATGCTTCAGTCAGCTGAGCCACCTGGCCAGGGCGACACCACAGCTGTTTCAGGGTTGCCAAGTCCTGGAATCAGAAAGACAGCATGGTAGGAAGCTGAGTGGAAACAGTTGCTGAGTGAGGCATCCTTTTTGGGTGGAATGGGATGGAGAGGGGCCACCTAGAGTGACCCAGTTCCATTCCATTGCCCCCTTTCCAGCTCCAGGACCAAACTTTCCAATGATGAAAATACCTGTGTCCAGGTGGCAGAAATGACAGGTAGAAAGCTCCTTTGCTCACAAACCTCTGTAGACGTAAGTAAGTTGATCCAGCAGAGCAAACACACACTGCCCAGGGAGGTGGTGGAGCAGCTTCTGGAATCGTGAGCTCAGACTTGGCAACAAACGGGCTAAGGGCTTTCTCAGAGGGGCTCCTGGACGTTCACTGCGGAAGCCATCGCATAGTCACACGCACTAGCTTAGCATCCTTGTCCCCACATGTGAAACCTCCTGCAAACCCCAGAGGAGGTGGAAGAAGATCAAAAGAAAGCCATGTTTGGATGTGAGCTGCACGCAGGGCAGGGAGCTCAAGATTAAAAAGGCTTCCCAATATGAGAAGAAGCGGACAGCTCAGGAAACCTGGGAAGGAAAGGGAGATATGATCCCTCTAACAAGGAAAATATTTCCTGCAGAGGAAGCCAACTTAAGTTTGCTTTTTGGGGATTTTTTTTTTTTAAGCAAAAAAGAATATGTATGAATTCATAGTGTAGAGGTAGCTCTTCCACTGGGTACAGCTGGATGCAGAGGTTCAGATCATTCTGTCTGCCTTTTGTCTTTCTCCAACTCAGCTTTGTTTTCCTCTTCCCTCTGTGAGGGTGTCCTTCCCACGAAGGCTGTCTGTTTTTCTCTGTCGGCAAAGATGGCCACACACAGCTCTAGGGTTACATTAGCCCTGTCATTACATTTATAAAGGGCTAGTGAGACCCAATTAGGACAGGCCACTCTTAAATCCAAACTAAATAAAGTGCTTTTGATGAAATGAAGCATGGGTCCTTTGACTGCTGCATCTTTTATAAATACACATGTTCTGCACATGTGTGGCTTTTGCACCCTCCCAAATCCCTGCATATTGCTTCACCTCCTCACAGAAGCTACTGTGGGTTGTAATATTTTTAATGTGTGGCATTCGTCTTTGTAGGCTCTTATTTCAGGGGAAAACATTTGGCTCACCTGTAGCTTTAAGCGTCCCTTTCTAACTTCATTTCTTTGATTTCCAAGTGGGGTATTATAATGTCTTTAAGGTTTGCCGCAGTCTGGAGTTCCCATGGGTAGTTGTGATGTTTTTGATGGCACAGTCATCTGGAAGTTCCAAAATTCAGAGCTTCCCCTACCCACTTCAGTCATCTCTGTCTCTCTACAGGTTTTGAAGGTTACTGCATATGTGCGCATGCATGCACGTGCACAGACACACACACGCACACACGCACACACAGATATGCATGTCCTGTTTATTTGTTGTCATCAATATGTGTAGTAATCGCTGGGATAGAGGGAAATAGTTTCGTTTTTAAATTAAAACTGTATGATGTATATTGGCAAGAATCCTGAGTATTTGCCTGTATCCAAATGCTGGACTCTGTCTCTACTACTTTGGTCCAGTAAAATTGTCAGCATAAGTGCAATGAATCAAGAGAACTTTATTAATTTTCTTCTGAAGCTGGACTTGATTACATTGTAGGGACTGGTGCTGTCTAGTTTTTCATCTATTTCTCTTATTCTAGGCACTTGAAGAGGCCCAGAAAGCGATTCAGCAACTCTTCGGCAAAATCAAAGATATCAAAGACAAAGCAGAAAAATCAGAGCAAATGGTGAGTTTAGGTTTCTTCCCAATTTTTTTGCTCCAGGAGAGGAAGTTTGCATCTCGTCCACTTACACTTGTTATTGGACTTATTCTCCCATTTGCTGCCAACCGCAGCACCCACATCTCTAAAACAAGCCCTCTGAGTACACTCTAGATCAGTTCAGCAGGAGCAGCTAGCGGTGCAGTGACTCATTCCCTGCCGCCCGATATTTGCAGCCCTGTGTTTAAATAGTTTTCTAGTCATTTTGGATTCCTTTCTCTAGCACTTGTTTATATCACGCATAGTACTAGGCTTGTGTTAGTTGCTCAATGAATGGAAGCCATTATTAAGATATATGATATGTCACTTGGTATCACATGAAAATGGTTCCTGGATCTGGGAGGTGGATGTAGCCTGCCCATGATACATGCTTATGGTTTTGATTAAGTTCTCCCTCTACACATCTGTCCTCCGGTGATGTACTCTGAAGGCCCCGCTGCTGACCAAGAATCCAGCCTCACCCACCCGTACTCTGTGGGAGGTGGTGTGAAATGCCAACTCCTGGGCTCAGATTCTGACTACATAATGTAATGTCTCTGAATTCCAGTTTTTTCAACTATAAATAAGAATAACAACATATAGCTCAAAGCGTTATAAGAATTGAATGAATGAAGAGCACTGAGATGGTCTTAGGCTTGTGTTAGTTGCTCAATGAATGGAAACCATTATTACTATTATTTTTCCCCCTAATCTTTTTGGTTACAAAAAACCTTGCAAGTTTGTGATTGTGAAACTGAGCTGTGCAGGTCATAATCTTTATGAGTTCATGCAGGGTGGTCACATGAACTTAACTCACTACCAGGTTTTTCACTTTTTTTATTTAAAAAAATTTTTAATTCTCACCTAAGGACATAGTGTGTTTTTTAAACTGATTTGAAGGGGGGGGGGGGGGAGAGGGAAAGAGAGCAGTTGGTTACTCCCTGTACTCACCCCAACCAGGGATCGAGCCTGCAAACCCAGGTATGTGCCTGGACTGGGAATCGAACCCATAGCCTTTCAGTGTTCAGGACAATGCTTCAACCAACTAAGCCACCAGCCAGGGCCCAGGCTTTTCACTTGTAATGGGAGGTATATCTTTCCAGTGACCAGGATATGTGTGCCTAGTATCGGGCACTCCCTCCCTTCCCGGTACCAGAGAACCTGGGAAAGCAAGTTGCTCTTCAGAAGCTTCTTGGTCAACGTGAACTCGGGCAGTTAGTGGGAGATTTTACCTGGGTGTTGGTGAAGTTGGAAAATTGCCTCCACTTCACTACCCAGTGTACTTTCCTAGTGACTAAAATATACTTGTGTTCCCAGATACAGCACTTCTTCCTCTTGGACCTGGCAGATCAACACTTGGAATTTTACTCCTCCGATTTCCTTCTCTCTCACTGAAGACTCTGCCTCTTCTCTTGTGACATTCCATGCTAAGCTTATGTTACGGGGTTTACATTCTTAAAAATCTTCAAATTTGAGAGAAATTCTTTCTTTTCTGAAGACAGTAAACCCTAGTTCCATGAGTGAAGACCATCTCAGTAGAATTAGCCAACTAATACCATCCATTTTTAGGCTGAACCTAGTAGTCCCAGTGGCAGAAGGCATACTTTTCTGACCTTGTTTAAGGTCAGAAAAAGGTCAGAATAGTACATGCACTGTACTTGGCTTCTGGGCCCGGTAGACTCCATTGGGGGTGAAAAATAAAGTTCATTTCATTCTCACAAATGAGGATTTTATAGCCCTGGGTAAAGTCGGTTGAAGAAATGCCAAATTAAATTTAAATGGGCTGATTGGGAATGAATTTGATTATCTGTTGTGAAAAAGCCTGTGTTTTCTCCAAGGGCTAACCTGAGAGTTTTTTTTTTAACATTTTATTTTTTAATTACAGTTTATAGTCAATGTTATTTTGTATTAGTTTCGGGTATAACCTGAGTTTTTTTTTTTCTTCCTTCATTTGCATTATTTTCTTGTGGAGCTACTTGCGGATGTGTTTACATCGTTCTTACCTTCTTCCTTTTTCTCCCGTGGTTTTCAATATTTAGGTTAAAGAAATCACCCGTGATATTAAGCAGTTAGATCATGCCAAACGCCATCTGACCACCTCAATCACAACGCTGAACCACCTGCACATGTTGGCAGGCGGCGTCGATTCCCTCGAGTAAGCAGTGTCAACTTTCTCTTTTCGGTCCACACGAAATGAATGTGTCACATAGAGAAAAGGGTTATTTACTTCTCAGCCAGTAAAGTCTCACCATCCTGCCCCACTTTCTGCAAATTTGGCTCAAATGTTCAGTCACCAGATTTACTTTCTGCCCTCTGTTGTTCAAAACCCAACAAACAACCTGCCACTTTTTGCTGTTGTTAATCCTCACCCGAGGATATTTTTCCCATTGATTTTCAGAGAGTGTGGAAGAGAGGGAGGCAGGGATAGGGAGAGAGAAACATCAATGTGCAAGAAACACGTGGATTAGTTGCCTCCTGAACTTGACCCCACTGGGGCCAGGGATTGAACCTGCAACTCAGGTATGTGCCCTTGAACGGGACTCAAACCCACAACCCTTTGGTGTGCAGACTGACGCTCTAAACACTGAGCAAAACCAGCCAGGGCACAGCCTGACACTTTGAAATGAGATGCAAATGAATCTGAAGGGGCCCCGGAAGCATGTGGAGAAATGACTCCAAGAATACAAACAACCTGACAGGTAGGTCTGGTAGATCTCTATCATTGAAGCCCACAAGGTGATTCGAGGCCATTGTCCCTCCCTACAGCCTTAACCTTGGCAAGTTTTCCTGCTTGTGATGGGCTGAGTTACACTGTCATTGAATGTATCATATAAAAACATATCTTTGATTTATCATTCAACCCAGTTTTTCAAATACAGTAGCTTCCTGTTTGGTTTATAGAGGAACTATAGGGAATGATGTATGAGGACATTAGAAATAGTATTAAAAGAAAGAGCTGGCCCTACCTGGTTTGGCTCAGTGGATAGAGCATCAGCCTGCGGACTGATGGGTCCCAGGTTTGATTCCGGTCAAGGACATGTACCTTGGTTGCAGTCACATCCCCAATAGGGGGTATGCAGGAGGCAGCTGATCGATGTTTCTCTCTCATCAATGTATCTAACTATCCCTCTCCCTTCCTCTTTTTTAAAAAAAAATCAAAATATATTTAGAAAAAATAAAAGGAAGAGCTGGTTATTTACCACAAAGAAGCAGTGTCAAGGCCTCCTTCATTAGCAAGATTCTGATGTGCCAGTTCTCTTCTGTGGTCTGTCTCGGGCTGAATTCCCCCTGCCCCAGCCTCAGTGTAATCTCATGTGTGGACAGAGAAAGAGCATCTTCACGTAAATTTAGATGCAGTATCCAAAGTTAGGGGCGGGGTACTGGCTCCTTCTTGATCTCTCCCAGATGTTGCATGAGTTTCAGTGAACCCTGGTCCATTCTCCTGCAAGTAGTGATCAGAGAGGTCAGAGGCCAGTGGCAGACTGGCAGAGCAATTTCCTTGTCCCTTCCCCCAGATGCATAACTATGTGACCTGGCAGCAGCATCACATCTTAGCTTGAACTTGATCCTGTCTTTGTAAAAGCCTCTTAAGGGAAGTCATAAAATATACTTTTAATTTAAAAGCCCAACCCTAATGAAAGATTTAGATCTAATGGTTTGTCCTTCCTTGCTATGTGTAACTTGATTTTATCAGCATCCTCTTTTATGCTTCATTAACCTTTGCAATAGGGAAACAGAGTTGCTTAACATTGGCTTAAAACGTACAGATCTGAGTTAACATGTAAATGAACCTAAATGCCCTTTGTTGTATCCTGGGAAGATGTGTTTGGTTTGCCTCTAAACTGTAACCCTCAGATAATAAGATCCTTACCCATGTTCTCTGTCAAAAGCCTGCTAATCCCATAACCCAACTCAAACCCAAAATTCATAGTCTTCCCAGATTTCCCTTTCCCCACACAATGAGAACCCATTACTCACACATTCTTTTGTACCTCCCATAGCACATACCTAGTATTTCTGTTTAGAACTCAGTTCATCCTGTCTGGTATTAGTTAGCTGTGTATTTGGCCCTCTCCCTGACTAAATGTTGTTGCCTTGAGGATTTAGACGTCTCCCCCCCACTGCATAGCACCATACTTTTTTAGTGCTCAGCAAATACTTACTAAATCGAGTTGATGTCTGTTTTATTTTTTAGATTTATATAATTTGTTGGTTTTTTAATCTTTATTGTTGAAAATATTACATATGTCCCAGTTCCACCACCATCACCCCACCCCCGTCAACGCCCTCTAGCCCACTCTCGCCCTCTGCTCCAGTGATGTCTGTTTTAGAGCTCAGAGTAGATTGTTCCACATCTGTTTCGTGTGTCTTTAGTGGATTTCTAGAGTTCTCAACTTCTTACTTCCTTGCAGAGCCATGACCAGGCGGAGGCAATATGGAGAAGTGGCTAATCTTCTTCAGGGTGTGATGAACGTTCTGGAGCACTTCCACAAGTACATGGGAATTCCACAGATCCGGCAGCTTTCCGAAAGGTACTGTGTCATCAGAGAAATTGATCTTCCCGTTTAAGAAAAGATGGTGCTGGGTGGTGCTGGAGCACTTCGCTCCGTATGTTCCTTATACAATCCTATTGTAAGAAGGAACCTTAGATGGCATCTGATTTAACTCTGTGACGCAGACTTCCCATCCACCGTCCCCTTACCAGCTCTTGACCATGTCTTCCAAAGCTGCCCATGTCACATAGTTGCTGGCCTCCATCATTGCAGTGGCAGCTGGCAAGTTGTATATCTCAACAACTCTCAGTTGTCTGTATTAGTGAGGGGAACTCTCCCAGTTGTCTATTTCCTTGTAACAAACCACACACGACTTAGAGTTTCTAGTTTACCACATCTTTTTTTGTATGGTTCTGGATTTTTGTTAAAATCTTTTTATTATTTCTACTGCTCTGGGGCAGGAAAGGGAGGTGGCAAGATGCACTCAGTGTACCCTCTTGCAATGGAAATGCCAAAGAACTACAAAGGAATGTCAGAACAGAGCTTGGCAGAGTACTAGGGAAGTCACCACCCTTCCCCTCATCCTTCCTAACCCCTTCACACTTAGAGATGGCTGGTCGCCATGCCACACTGGGGATGGAAAGCAGCTAAGAGAGTGGGCAAATAGGGCTTTATGAGCTGCGAAAAGGAAGGAAGCTTGAATGGAGAAGGCAGACTTGCTCTCAGTTGATGGGGGAGAAGGGAAGGAGGCAGTATCTCCTCCCCCTATCCTCATAATGATCCGGAGTTGATCTGTTTTTCCCATTAATTTTTCTTCCCTTCATTTACCTAATAGATATTTACTGTGCACCTTCTATATCCTAGACCCCGTGCTGGAGTACCACAGGCACAAGATAAGCAATACACACTCTCTACTCGAGGAGTTCATCTTTGTGTAGAGAAGAGAAACACTAATATAAAATTTCAGCAGAGCACAGATACAACAAAACTGGTATTTGCTATACAGGGCATGGCAGGATCTTAGAGGAGGAATTGATAGAATGAACCTTCAGGGGCTAAGGGTAGGGGTTATAGAAGAATTCAATTTTAATCTGATTTTAAAAGAATGGGAAGGATCTTACCATCAAGATAAAAAGGAGAGTGGGAGAATAGAAGAGAGAGAGCATCCTGTCACTTTGGGAGATGATAGAGAGTGAAAGCCTGCATAGGTAGGCAAGGTCAGAGTTCATATGCCTTGCTAGAGAGCTTTTTCTTTATCTAGTGGGCAATGAAAGATTTTGAGCAGGAGGGGCATGATCTCACTTGTATTTTATGGAAGTCTGGTGGATTATAGGTACATGACACTGGGGGTTTAGACTATGTTCTAGACTAGGCAAGATAAGGACTATACCAAAATAATGGCCATGAGGTCAAGAAGATGTGTTGAGAGGTTGGTTACCAACTGGTTGGTTGTTTGTGATGAGCATTGTTAATGGCAGGAATGGAGCAGAACTGAATTTTATTTATAAAAAAGCAACTTAGAGTCATACAAGCAAATGTCTTTTAGGACTCTGCTTTCTAACATTTTTTTGAAAGGTGGTTTTATAAATTTGAAGAATGTTGTGATCACTGTTGTAATGACATGTCCCTTATAAAGAGAGACTCTAACGCTTCATTAATGTATTTCAGTGCTGCAGACACTCATCATCATGTAGGGTTGCTGCAAACTCGGGAGGATTTACTTTTCTTTTAGTGGAAAGCCTCTGTTTGCAAAAATGGTAGATTGATATAGAGCATGTACTCTTAAGCAACACTGAAAATAACACGAGAGAAAAACCTTGTTTTCAGTGCTTGACTACAATTGTTTTTCAAGAGGTATTAAAAGTTTGAGGAAAGTCCAGACTTCTTATTTTTAGCATCATTTCTGGTGATTTTCCTCTCTGATGTTTACATAGCAATGGTAGAACCATCTGGAAATGATAGAAATAGCTATTTGGGGGGAGGGTAGAAGGCAAGTTATGCCCTATGCATTGCTTCAGCTTCTCTAATAGCTTGCTGTCTATAAATTGTAGAAATCATATAAAAGGTTGTGTTCTGAAGTCTTTGCCTGTGCATTTGAAATATTAAATTCATGGATCTTGATTTGAATATAGTTATTTTTTTCCAACTTCCCCTCTGGAAAATGCTTAAACACTAATATAACATTGAAGGAAAGATTTTTAAAAAAATACCATCTTCATATTACAAATCCTCCTGGCTTAAGAATGTCCATGAAAGCAAATGTTTCTAGTAATCAGTCAATATTTCCTGAGAAAGAATGGAGGAGTCTTGTATTCTCTTGAAACCCTTGAACTAAAAGTATTTTTCAGGGCTATTTCTAATCTCTTACATGTGAGAGATACCTGGCAAATTGCGATCACATGATGTAGTGATGAAAGAAACTAAAGTAGAGAATGAAAAGGCCTGCCTAGCTGTGTGTATTTGACAAGGGTTCCTGCTGAAAGAACTTTAGTTTCAAAAGTGTAAGTTGCGAAAGAGTAAGGGTTTCAAAAGTGTAAGGGTTTCAAAAGTATAGGGGTTGTACTTGATGTCCTCAAAAGCATCCCGCTGAGTCACTCTAAGATTCTTGGTTGAGATTGTAGAGTCTCTCTGTTTGGAAAGAGAGCAGCTCAGACTAATGTGGCTAATTAACCATTCTGTCCAGGACACACCAAGTATTTGGGAGGTCAGTTTATTGTGAACCTTTGTATTTTCGTTGGGACTGTCATTCACAAGATAATGGAAGCATCAGGGTTACTTTATCTACAAATGCCTAAATAATTTTCCTAATTTGCTGCCCCTTTGCTTCCACCCTTTATGAAAACTGATAACACATTTAGGAAAGGGCACCTTTAAACGACCCGTAGTCACGTGACATGGAGGATGCTAGGAGCCAGTTGGTTGACCTTTCTTTCTAGGTAATACAGTAAATCTTTTATTTCCTAAGAGTGATCAACACTCAACCAGGCAGAACTTATTTGGATGCCAGGAGGAATTACTGTTTGCTGCCCTGTTCTCTATCAGTTGTAGATTGGTTTTCATAAGAGTGAATAGGAAATCTTGGTAGCTCACCCCTTCTATGTGCTCTGCTAACAGAGTCTCAGCTGTTCCCTCTCTTTACATAGGCATTTACTTTTCATTGTTAAAAGAGGAAGGAATAGAAATAAAGGAGTCAAGTTGAAGATAGATTCTTTCAAGTGATTTTTCCCCCTAGGATCCTGTTTAGGCAACTAATTGTAAAGGCTGCTGTTCACATCTCCCCCTAATGTTACATGGAATTGTGGTTTGGGTTTACAGACACCATCATTAATGCCAATAAAGGAAATGGTTGCTCTTTCATTGGAATCACTGATAAGACACTTCAAAAACTACGCTAGGAAACCTTTATGTGCGGAAGCTTATTCTTCGGCTCCAATGTTAATTGTGCATCTGACTTGTAGTCTCCTGTAAACATGGATGCTGTCGGCAGCTAGTGCTGCAAGAGGGGTGTTGTGGAAGAATCAGTACTAGAAAGGACGCTGAAAGGCATCTGGGACAGGCCTCCATCCCCACCCTCTTATTTCACAACTGTTCTTAGCTGTAGCCTGTGTAGGGGAAATGGCTTCCTTATGATTATGCCTGGCGCACTAGTGGCACAGCTGAGTCTAGGCTATCTCAAGAGGTGACTAAAAATGGATTGAAGATGACTAGGGGGTCTACAGATCACAGTCCGATACTTCACCTCTCTTCTGTGCTCTGGAAGTACCAAGCCTCTGGTTGTCTTTTCAGACAACCCCAGTTTTAAATCCAGTAAGAAGATGAGTTAAGGGATGATGGGGTGACAGAGGCAGAGCTGGGCCCATCGGAATCACTGAGATCTCAGGAGCCCTGAGAATATGGGCAGAGTGCCCCCTCAGGAATGGTCCCTGTGGCTCAGGAGGGAATAGTGCTCTCTGCATATTGATTGCCAAGAGGAGAGTAGGGAGAGGGACCTGAGACTCTGGAAGCTCAGTCTTGTGACCTGGCACCAGGGGAGTTTGTCTGCCCAGCCCATTACACGGAGTCACAAGACCTCCAAGGTGCAGTTTTACAAAAGCTGGTTCTCTTTCCTGTCAGAAATATTTCCCATTGACTTTGGGCAATTCTGGATGGATGGCCTTAATTCTGATTTGGGGAGCCATGTGAGGAATAGCCTTATTTCAGTCATTTCTAGCCCCCTTGAAAACTAACTGAAAAGGCTGCAAACCCACCTATCAGAGTGGTTTTGAAGATAACATGGAAAAATCCTGTAAGTATTTAAAATAAAAGCATAATTATGACTATGCCACAGAAAAATCAGACTGTTTTGGGTCCTGCCTATCCCCTCATTAAAAAAAAAAATCTCAGTAGGTTGCTAGGCACTGCCTAGTAGCCAGAGAAATTGTGGTTTTGAGCTGTTCACTATTTCTAGAAACTTCATAAAGTTAATTCCAAAGTAGCAGGGTGGAGACCAAGAAAGGAAGAACACTACTTTATGGTGCTTTTAACAAAGATAAAATATTTGCCTCGGGCTCAGGGCAGTTTAGCAGCTGCCTCCGAGCCTTGCTCCGCCCCAGCTCCCGAGGCCGGCGGGGGCATGGCCGGCTGCTGGTGGAGGACATGAACATTGCAGGGAACCACGGTGACATGAACTTTCTTTCTCATCCCAGCTGTGCTGCTTTCTCCTTTCATTTAAGCTGAAAAATACTTGTTGTGCTCCTAATGTACATGCAATCCACTGTGTCAAGTACCGACCCTCCATTTTTAACTGATTTTCATCATAACTCAGTTCTGATATTCGCAATCTTCTGAGCGAACGTAAATCTTCATTCAGTGGCTTCACTCTCAATTAGCAGTTCATCTTTATCATTTTAGTCTTTATTATTTCTGCTCTAAAAAACATTCTTTTTATTTATTTGTTAAAACTTATGAACCTGATCTTGGTTTCTTGGTTGGAAAAAACGACGACTCTGAAGTAGTATGGAGCTCTCCTCCCATTCTTTACTCCAAGGAGTAGGTGAGCAGTTATACTGGTAATTCAAAATGGATTTATATCTGATTTGGGCCTTATTATATAGCATTTTCCTATGGTATAACTACTACCTCATGACAGGCGAGGCATGGCCTAGAACAGTGGTTCTCAACCTTCCTAATGCCATGACCCTTTAATACAGTTCCTCTTGTTGTGGTGACCCCCAATTTCATTGTTACAAATTGAACATAATTAAAGCATAGTGATTAATCACAAAAACAATATGTAATTATATATGTGTTTTCCGATGGTCTTAGGCGACCCCTGTGAAAGGGTCGTTCGACCCCCAAAGGGGTCGTGACCCACAGGTTGAGAACCGCTGGCCTAGAAGAACTTGGATATAGAAAATCTAAGGATATAGAAAAACCATGTTGTGATTAAATTGGATAAACCTGGATCCTGGTCATAAACCTGCTACTAACTAGTGTGTGACCTCTCATCTAGCCACCTTCCTCCTTCCTGTCTCTAACGACTCCACTAGTTCTGACTTCTATAGATCTTTGCATAATTACTTATGAATATTTGAAAATTTCCAGACAGTGATATGTTTTATTTTCTCTACAGGGTGAAGGCTGCCCAGACTGAGTTAGGACAGCAAATCCTGGCTGATTTTGAAGAAGCATTTCCTTCCCAGGGTACCAAGGTATAGTTTTGCATGTTCTCTCCAGTCTTTAATATTACCACCATTCTTACCTAATTCACACTCACTACAGTTACTGTTCCCATTTATCATCCCAAAAGTCTTTGCTGGCAGCCATCAGTCTATTTCCCAGACATTCAGGATAATGAGACCATTCTTGATTTCAAATATCCCAAAGCGATGTTGATTCCTCATTTATGTTCTTTCAGCATCAAAATGTGAGGCGTGGGGATTTGTTTTGGTTTAATTTAATGTGTGTCAAACCTAATGTCTTGTCTGCCTAGTAAATTCCTTTTTTTCTCATGTGTTTTTTTTTTTTTTTAAATCTTCAAGCCGCAGCGTTTTTTAGGATTGTTACATAACTTATTGGTTTCAGTTTGGTGAAAAGACAACTGGGAGGGCAGTCCACAGACTTATGTAACTTGGAGTGACACAGTTCGGAGACTCGTTTTTAACGATCAGAATCCTGTTCTTTGGCATTAATCCCTTTCCTTCTCGCTGGTGGCATGCTGTTTGTGTTGTGTCTGGGTAGCCCGCAGTGTTGCGCTTGTGAGCTATGGGTTAGACTTCTCATGTAACAGACTTTGCCTCAGTTGGCTGGCATTGCGCTTGGTGAACTGCCTTTAGCTCTACCTTTAAACTGTAGCAGACATGATCTTAATGCTTTGCATGTGTCAGGGAGGGAAGGGCATTCAGAAGCTTTTATTCTTCCTCTATTATTTGAGCTGTTTCAAGAGAAAGAATTGTTCAATGCAGATATGAGCCAAAGTACACCCGGGCAGGCAGCATTCCTCACTGCCCATGGTGGGCGGAGATGGTAGATATATTTTTATTTACTGAGCCAAGGAACATTTTCTGAATTTGTGTTATAATTCAATAACTGGAAATATCTTAATCATTTTTTTGTGTGCTCCATAAAAGAAACTTAAGAAGTAGGTGGGGGTAGCTGCCCCAGCTTGGTAGATTGCTACTTTCTGTAGGAAACCTGCTCCTGATTTTAATATCTGTCCATATTGTGCCTGTCTTTTGGTAATCACACATTTTATTTGTAAAGCTTGTTCCTTTGAGGACTGTATGTCCTGATTCATTTGATGTAACTCTGGGAAGGGGATATTGGAAAGCCATTCTGTGAATAGAGATGGTAAGGAATTCACAGATTATAAGCACTAGACTCTTGTTAGTGTCGGATCTGCTGTTCATCCCAGTTTCAGGAAGTTTCTGAAAGATGTGGATGAAGCCCAGCTTGGTTACTTAGAAGAAAGTAACTGTGACCTATAGTATCTCTTTCTCCCAGATCCCACCAGGCAGATGAAGTTAAAATGGTTTTCTTTAACAACTTGCTTCCCTTTTCTCTGACTGGGTAACAGTGGGTTTTTTAGTTTTCTTTTGTCCTTTTTAATGGTTGTTGCTTCTTTTAAAGACCTTATGCTGTTACTTCTATTTCACAAATGGAACTCACGATATATAAATATATATATATATATATATTTTAATTATCCAAAGTAACCTATGAAGTCCTTTTGAAATGAAAAAATCTGAACCCATGAGCTCAGAGTTTGGCTTCCATGGCTTCTCTATTCGATCAAACGCTTTTACCCACAGGCAGGAGTTGAGCAGAGGATGACATAACAGCCACTCAGTGTGGGGCTAGTCAGCATTTTAACAACTGAGCTCCGAGGAAGCTTAGGTAACACTTATGAAACATAAATTTCAGTGCAGGTGGGTAAATTGGACAGAACTGACAAAAATAAAACAAAACACAAAGATTTGGAAGAACCTTACTTATTCACCTCCTTAAAGTCCATTATTTTTCAGATGAGGTTCAGTAACTATGCCAAAGCTGCGTGGCTACTTAGCCAAGCCAAGCGTAGATCCAGGAGTTCTGTTTACTGTGGTCCACGCAGCCAGCCACGTTCATGCAGTGAGGCACCATAAAGAAAGGTGCATCGAGATTGAATTGCCTTTGGTGGTAATGGCAAAGGCCTTCCCAAATGACACAGGTCTTCCCGTTGTGATGTGTAGATACAGCCCCTCCATGTCCTTCTACTGTTCTTTTTAGGTCAAAGGGCTGATAGTACAATATTTTACCTTAGCTACATGTCTGAGTGGTTGAGTATCTGTAAACAAATCTGATGGAACTTGCTTTTAGGTTTTAAATGCCACCGTATTGTTTGGCAGAAATATAGCACCTTAAGAATAGGAATCTTACCTCTCTCCATGTCATAGCTGAAGCAGGGAAACATTTTTATGGAGGCCATTTAACTCTTAAAGATCCTTTTCGTGAACGAATACTAGTAAGAGAAAATATGTCATTCTTTTTGTCAGAATAACCAAACTACTGCTCTGTAATGAAAGATTACTTCATGACATTCCCTTCCTACCTCCTTAAAAAAATAACAGTAATTAAATGTATTTTTTGAAAGCTAATAAAAATACTTACATTACAATAATAATTTTGTTGCAAGTGCATCATAGTTCTGCGACACGGTCTAAAAAGAATAGGATTCTGAGGTTGGAATCAGGGAAAGTGGCACAGGTGGAGTGAGACTGGGGTCACCTGCCTTCTGGGCTCTTCCATCGGCGGTTTCAGTTTTGGTGTGGGAAAGCAAAGTTTCCTGTGATCATTACAGGCCATGCTTTTCAAAATGTCTCATTGCTGATTGACAGAGTAGCTTTTATATCGGCTCCTGCGCTCTAGCTTAATGATTCTTTCATCGAGGAACAAGTAGCTAAAATATCCATCCACAGCAGGAGAATGAGGCAGGGGAGTGGGAGCAGTAAGAACTTCAAGAGAGGAGCGGGAAGTAGCAGATGTCAGAGGCCAGGAGATTCAAAGGTGGTTTCTGGCTTCTGAATTGGTGTATGTTTGTTTTAACAGAGGCCAGGAGGACCCAGCAATGTCCTACGAGATGCATGTCTGATTGCTAATATTTTGGACCCCCGAATCAAACAAGAAATCATTAAAAAGTTTATTAAACAGCATCTGTCAGAGTATCTAGTCCTTTTTCAAGAAAACCAAGATGTAAGTATTGACCAAATGAGATTAGATGTGACATTGGAATTGTATTGAAAATTGAATGCTCTCAAGCCTCCTGATTTATACTTTATTATTATTATTACTGTTTTAAAGAGTTGGTTGTGGAACCATGAATGCTAAGGGCTAACTGTATAGTTCAGTGGTTCTTAACCATTTTGGGGTCACTGGCCCTTTGGAGAAATTAATGAACGCGACAGATCTTCTCTCCAGCAAAAGGCACTTATGCCTAAAACTTTGCATACAGTTTCAGAAAATTTATAGACCTCTGAAGCCTACTCATGGACCTCAGGGTAAAAATCTCTGGATCAAGTAAAAACGTAGCCTAGATTCTTTAAAACCATGAAAAGTAGAGTTTGGCTGTGTTTTTCTTGGTTCTGTGTTTTTGCTTTCCTTAAACTGTCAATACTACGTCTAATACTGGGGTGGACTTTGTTCCCTAATTTTCTAAGGTTGCCTGGCTGGACAAAATCGACAGACGCTATGCCTGGATAAAACGCCAGCTTGTGGACTATGAGGAGAAATTCGGCCGAATGTTTCCACGTGAGTGGTACATGACCGAGAGGATTGCAGTAGAGTTTTGCCACGTCACAAGGTAGATTCCCACTCTGCTGGTTTTGGTGTTAATTGAAATCAGTCCTCCTGTCTTTAGCGGATCCATGTTGTCTTGTGGATTGGAATCACTTCCTGACCCCACCAAATGATTGATGGCACCCTCATATCCAATTATCGCCCCCCTCTCTGCTTCCAGGACTTCCTTTGGCCTAGCCCTTGCCTGAACAGCCTGTCTTCTTGGCTTCACCAACTCAAGATTCATCAAACAAATTTACCTGTAGTGATTCATTGCCCCACATTTCCTCTATGTCTGTATCACATATATCAGTTTGCAGTTGTATATACCCATTATCATTTGCTTTTCTAACTTGATAGATAGCTAGTTCCACAGGGACAGGGGTAGTACCTACTTCAGTGACATAGTAAACCATCAGGAAATATTTGTTGAACAAATTTCCCACTCTACAGTATTTATAGTCTTCGGGTAGTTAATAATATTGGCATCTCTGTGTTCTAAGCATTTCAAAGACCTGTCTTCTGTGTCCGTGAGTGTAACCCAGGACCACATAGCCCTTTATATTCAAGAAGGTTTGATCAGTATATCCATGATAAAGCTAGAGCTAGAGTCAAAATGTTTTATTTTTTACTTGCAACTGTACCATAGCAGTGGTGGTAACTGAGTTTTATTAGTTATGTATTTCTTTTTAATAGTTCACAATTACATTAATTCCGGGATAATAAAAATTTGTTATATCTAACCATAACTCAGCCACCTTAGAGTAATTCATTATAGTCATTTGTCTTAAAATCACAGAGACTATAATTAACTTGCAAGCTTTAAGCACATTGTGGTGTGAGATATGTTTTAAGGAAAACTGGCTGTTGGTTTTGTGGTTTGGGTTTTTTAATAGAATTTCTTTTTTAGAACAATTTTAGGTTCACAGCAATAGTGACAGGAAGATACAGAGATTTCCCATATACCCTTGCCCCACACATATATTGCCTCCGTCATTGTCAACATTCCCTCACCAGAGTGGTGCACTAGTTGCAATCAATGAACTTACACTGACACATTATTATCACCCTGACTCCATAGTTTACATTAGGGTTTACTCTTCATGTTGTACATTCTTTGTGGCTGTTGTTATAAGAAACACATTTGCTATAATAGATTTAGTATTGAGTCAGGGTCAGTTGTGGTTGTCACTTCCTAAGCCCTGATTAGCAAAGAAAGATGAATTCTTTGAGAAACTGGTAGGTAATTCAGTGACTTGCAAGCTAACTCTGAAAAATGAAGTCTGCAGGAGACTGGAAGTGTATGCTACACCAAACCTGCCATTGTGTCAGCTACGGGCAGTGTTTCTACTAAGCTTTCACTGTTTCAAAATCCTACAGATAATTCTCAGATAAACCTTGTTTGATTTTATCATTTATTTGTGGGGGGTATGATCATAGCTCAGTTCAGAACTCTTATGTCACTGCTCCCGGACAACTTACATTCTGAAACAGAGCACATGAGAGGCACATAGACAGGCAGGAACCACCTAAACACATATGTGTCACTTTTCACATGGAGGGTCTGGCCTCTCACCTGTGTTTCCAGGGTTATTGCTCTCTGTTCAAGGAGAAGGTTATTTCTTTGGAAGATGGAGGGCTATGTAATTCAGTAATTAATGACTTGTGAAATTACATAGAAAATATGCATTTTTTATAAAATACTGTTTCATATATATAATTAACAAACTATTGAAAGGTTTAAATATTTAAAAATAGTAGTAACAATGTAAACAAATTGGTGTCCATAATCCTTGATTTTTTTTTTTTGGACTGGTGGATAATTTCACCTTAAAATTCTTATTTAGAACTAGAGGCCCGGTGCATGAAAATCATGCATGGGTATGGTTCCTAGGCCTGGCCAGTGATCAGGGCTGATTGGGGCCTCCAGGCTGCTGGCCAGGGCCTCCCTTCCCCGGCTGCCTGCTGCTGGCTGGGGCCTTCCTTCGTTCCACACCACGCCCTGGTGGTCAGTGCACGTCATAGCGAGCGATGGACTCCTGGTCTCCCAGTTGAACTCTCACGGGGACACTTTGCATATTAGCCTTTTATGTAGATAGAAGATAGATATGTATTTCTATTTCCCAGGCATTAAATTGAGTTGCTAACAGATCTCAGGATTTGAAATGACCACCTACTTTAATAAATGTATATATATAAGCTAAAACCATTTACTTTGTGCCCTGGATGGATAGCTCAGTTGGTTAGGGGATTGTCTCCATACTCCAAGGTTACATGTTCTATCCCCAGTCAGGGCACATACAGGAAGCAACCAGTGAATGTATAACTAAGTTGAAAAACAAATCAATCTCTCTCTCTCTCTCTCTCTCTCTCTCTCAAATCAATAAATTTTTTAAAAATTAAAAAATATTTAAAAAGCATTTACTTTGTCTTATCTCGAATGATCCATTTGTTTGACAATATTCTTATCTCTTTATTTTGAAGGACAGAACTTGCCAAGATTATGCGGACCAGAGCTAAGGAAATTGAAGTGAAATTGCTTCTTTTTGCTATTCAGAGAACAACTAACTTTGAGGGATTTCTTGCAAAACGCTTCTCTGGCTGCACTCTGACAGATGGTGCCCTGGTAAGAACTCCCTGAGGAAGGTTGGAGCATGAAACCCGTGGGTTGGATGGCTGGGCTTTATTCCAGTCTTTCATGGTATGGTGGTTCGTTTGTCCTGTATACAGTAGTCCATGTTTTTAGAACGGCCTATCATTTTATCTAAGCATGGGCCCATTTTACAGACACAATTTTGTGAGTCACAGAGACCTCACTTAATTAGTCACAAATACCTTATTACTTTATTAACTATTGAATTTTATTATAATTAGATATGTTTTTACTACAAGGCTTGGCTTCTTAATGTCTCTGGTGAGCAAACCAGGTCAAGGTGTCTCTATAAACTTCAAAGCCACATGTACAGACTTGCATGTCAGAGAGGTTCCAAAAGATGAAACACAAAGGACACAGGCCAGAGGGCTGTCCTCCCCTGGAAAGCTGGACTATTGTGGTTCAAATCACTTACTCTCCATGTAAGCAAAGACCAGGCCCAAAGTGTCTCTCTGAAAACCTCTTTTTTGGGAATCCAGGTTCTCTGCTAACACATAATATACTTTCTTCAGATGGAAACAAAATTATTATGTTTTATGGTAGTTCTTGTTTACAACATTACACACCCAGAGACTTGAGCTCCCTGATTGCAGGAATCATGGCTGACTCATCTCTGCTTCCTAGTCATGCAAAGAGCACACAGACCTTGTGCAGGCAGACAGGAATGAGGAGGGAGGGAGTAAGAAATCAAAGTTGAGAGAGTTATTGCTCTTGAGTTTCCTTTAAAACTGGATTTAAAAACACACACACACACACACGAAACTGCTGGTAACAACAGAGAAGCAATGTGATTGGGTAGGAAAATCCTTGGATCAGCAACCAAGAGAGACTTGTGGTCCAGTTTTGACTCTGCTGTAACTCAGTGTACTGCCTTCTCAGTTAATTGAAAAGAATAGACTCTTTTTTAATAACGGTGTACTAGGAGGACTAAACAAGACATAAAACCCAGAAGCCATAAAGAAAAGGACTGAAACATTTGACAACATAAAAAGAGTGAAATTCTGTGTGGAAAAAGAGACCACAAACATAATTAAGGGACACACCACAAACTAGGGAAAAAAAAGTTTAAGCTATATAAGGCAAATGATTAATATCCAGCATACATAAAGAATTCTTACAAGTTAATATGAAAAAGATAACCCAAGAAAAAGGAGTACAGAGTCAAGCAGAAATTCATTGAAGAAGTAACAGTTGGCTAATATGTGAAAGAATACAAGATATTAATTTCCATACTTCAGGTTGGCAAAAAATATAAGAATAACAAGAAAGGATGTTAATACTAGTATACAAATTGATACCACCTTTTTAGAGAGCAAATTTTCATTATGTATCCAAAAAACTTAAATGTGCATGCCCAGCTGGAGTGGCTCAGTGGTTGAGTGTTGACCTATGAACCAGGTGATCATGGTTCCAGTCCCAGTCAGGGCATATGCCTGAGTTGTGGGCTTAATCCCCAGGGTGGGGTGTGCAGGAGACAGCCAATCAATGATTCTCTTTCATCATTGATGTTTCTCTCTCTCTCTCCCTCTCCCTTCCTCTAAAAAGAAAAGAAAATTTAAATATGCATGCACTATGAGGCAACAATTTCACATCTAGCTGTGAAGTCTATAAAGAAAAATCCATACCAAGAAAAAGGTGAACTGCAGCCTTAAAAGCAAAAAGCAACAACAAACCAACAAAAATATAATGGAGATTTTTGTAATGTTTATCCTTAAAGAATGGTTAAATAAAGAATGGCTCTCATCTCTGCCCTACCCGTCCTGTGGAGTAGTGTACAGCAGTTAAAAAGTGGTAGAATGGGAGATAGATCTAGATGTGCTATCACAGGAAAAAAAGACACTTCTCAGTTATGGCTAAGTGAAAAATGTAAGTTTGCAGGCCAATGCATATGGTATAATGCCATTTATGTAAAAAACAAAAAACATGTTTATGTATGTAAGGGTGTAAGAAAAAGGTCTGGAAATGATAACAGTGGATGTCTCTGGGGAAGGAAGTTGGAGTGAGAGTAGGTGGAGAAGCAAAGAATTCTTTTTCGTTCTCCTCTGGTATTTTGCTTGAATTTTTCTTATACAAATGGATTTACATATCTTTAAAACATATTTTTTGCATTTACATACTTTAAGAAAGTTATTTTTCAGGTTTTTTTAAATGAGGAAAATGGTCCAAAACAGACTTCCAAACTTTTTCTCTAACAAACTCTAATGTGGAATCCACACAGAATAATAGCTAACTTATTTTGAACATCCACTGTGTGTCCCACACTGTTCTAGGTGTATTTTCCTAAAGTCGCTCACTTTACTTCATCAACTATAGGAGGCAGGTGCTATACTCATTTGAAACTTACCTGAGACCACATAGCTTACGGTGTATATAAATACAGAAAACTGAGCTCTGTATTTGAAGAAGGAGAGTAAGAGCAGAGATCGGGCCTGGAATCCCATTCACTTGTTTACCCCTCTACTATCTTGTGTAGCCCCCACCCTTCCAGTCCTAAAATTCTGGGACTTCAATGGGATTCCCTCTGTTCCCCGCAACCCCCAAGACCAGCCTCAGAGTAGGTGCATCAGGGGTTAGTCCCTCAAGGCACTGGGCTTAAAGAGTGGAGGCAGCAGCTCTCAGTTTTAAGGCAAGACCATAAGACTCTACCTATTCAGTGCCACTTATGACTTTATTAAAATAAAATACAACTGAACCACAAAGCATTCTTTCCATACTTAAGAATAGAAATATGTATGTAATATACACATATATATACACACTTCTCTGATTGTTAACTCACGTTCAAAATTGATTTCTTTTTGTTTATTTATTTAAAAAATCTTTATTGTTGAAAGTATTACATATGTCCCCTTTTTTCTTCCATTGACTCCTTATAGCCCGCCCCGCCCCAGGCAATTGTAGTATCATGGAAAAAATAGGCCACAAAACACATGAAAATGCCCTTAAAGAAAATGCAAGTCACAGAAGGAAATGGGTAACAGCAATGACAATGAAAGAAACCTGTCTCTCTCCTGAGAAGTAGGTGTTTGACTTCTACACCACCTTGATGTCCTCATGTTTGCTCTCCTCCCTGCCCTCCCCAAGCCATGCTTCTGGCCTGGTTTCAAGCAGAGACTCCTGCAGCTCTGGGCTCAGCCCTACGGAGATCTGTTTGGGGGCAAAGAAGTTTAATCATTGGGCACAAGTCCCAGCTGGGAGTGTCCCCTGAGCTCCCAGGTTCCAACTGGATGGGGTTGGTAGAGCATAAGGTAATTTAGCTAACTGCATAGGAAATAGGTCCCAACAAAGGATGCTTGAAAACATTAGAGCCAGATACCTGTTTTCAGCTATTCTTCCCCTTCTTTGGCTAGACTTTACTTTCTAGTGATTTTGCTTTTACATTTAGGGAGCTACAGGGTTACAGAGGAACAAATGGCCCTGTTGAATCAGATGACCAGGATAGCCTGTAAGCTTGGGGTGCTCCCAGGACATTTCAGGCCTCGCTTGTGCTAGGAAACATTCCAAAGGTCAAAAGAGCCAGCGTGACGTGGGCAGAAAAAGCCCCTCTAAACAAGGTGAGGATACGAAACAGAGTAAACACACAGAGACCGTGAGAAGCTGGCAGGAGCTGTATGCAAGCTTGTGAAGACAGTGCTTTTTTGTAGAAAACCAGTATAGGGATGTCAAAGTGGCAGTTGGCTGACTGTTAACCTGTGGAGGGAGGAGAGGGCCTCTCTCCACATGCACCCACTCTGCCAGGGCCAAGGTCCCGAACTGCAGCCTTCCGTGTCCTGGCAAGTGCTGTGCTCTGTGGCGGGGGGGCGGGTCAGCTAGGAGCACTTGAATCTTTTTCACCCATCTCTTCCTTGTTGGTCTTCTGTTTTTGAAATTTTCTGGCATAATAGATTTACAAATTCCCCTCGTTGTTCAGTTGTTTTCCCTCCTATCAAGTTTGCAGAGAGTTTCAGGTTACAAATCCTTGGCCAGAAAATCCTGCTCAACTATGAGCTCTTTATTCACCCCTCAGTTGGTTAGCTTCTCCATAGACTTCTCCAAATCCTTCAACTTCTTTAAATCAAACTCTTCCCCTTGATCATCTCTGTTCTAGTTGTTATTCTGCATTCCAGGGCCTGACAATGACTGCTTCATAGCTTACAAGGATTTTCCCTTAAATATTAGTTTCTAGAAAGGCAACAGAACTCCTATGGGCTCTTCAGCAAGGCAGGCCAGGTCTTGGAAAATCAGTTCACCGCAGCCTGCCGTGGGAAGATGTGAAGGTAGTGCTTCTTGCTGTAGGTAATGTTCACTTTGAGCTTGGTCCTGCCATCACCTTGCCATGGGCCAAGTAGGGGGACACCTTCACCTGTAGCAGAGGCCCTGGTGGATTAGTCAGGGCCACTGACCATGCTCCCAACAGACAGTGCTGGAAGGAGCCCAGCCTGGGCTGAGCCTAGGGGCCTGACTCCTAGTCTAGCTGGTGGGTACCCCACCTGAAGACCTGCCTTTCCTGGTCTCTTTACCTCCTCCCTGTGCTGCCTTGCTCCCGGGACATATGTGTGGGGTTTTTTGTTCGTTAATTTTTGTATGAAAAATCTTTTGTGGCCATCATTTTATTTCAGGGTATCAGAATAAACCACAAAATGAACCAGAGTATATCTTGATACCCTTTAATATGCCAAATATCATAGAATGTTAGTGAATTCCTTGGAAAGTTATGGAGGAGGTAAGAAGTCAGCCAAGGAGCCAGTTGACTAGAGATGCTCCCAAGCCCACCCCGCTCCATCCTTGATTGATTGACAGTGAAACAATGAGGATGAGTTTGAGGGGTGAGGAGCTCACCTGGAAAGATCTGCCACAGAGGAGCGCCTTCTAAGATGAGTGTGATAATGCATCTTTTGCTCTTTTTGGACAGATGTGACTTTGACATCTGATAGAAATGCAGACTGAAAAAACCTTAAGGACAGGGCTTGTTTTGTTTTTGTTGTTCTAGCCCT